TGGTGGTTTCATTTTGAATCTAGGGATCAAATGTATCTCGCGAAGCATTGTCAGGCTATGGCTGTTCTCTTTTGTGTTCTTTTAGGTTTGGGTCTGCTKTTGCTCCAGCTCTTAGTGTCTTACACCATGGCCTACGGCACCCCCAAAACCCCTGGTGTCCTYAAGCAGATGTTGGTAGACATGAAGCGGCTTCTAGAGTGCTATCGGATTGGAAGCCTGGTAGAGTCTGATGATAGCCCGGAGACACAGAAGATCATGGATTCGGAAGTATTGCCGTAGCTCTGTGGAGGGAGATATCTAGGCTCAGCTTCCCACCAGCCGCATTGACAAATAGCCACCCATGGATTCAGAAAACAGGTTTCGGAATGCAGTGGAGGATATAGGAGACCTTTGTATATAATATAGAAGTATGGCCAACAATGTTTTCTTCCTGTCGAGGTCATAATTATATTGCATGTTCGCTATGCCGTACGAAACGCTCGAGAGTCTCCGTGTTGTCATGACATCCATGTGGGACATTTCTGGAGAATTATTCAAAAGAAAACTCTTGATATTCAGATGCAAGAGATTATTGAGACTCCTGGATAAAGCTTACCAGGAGGGAAAAATCAATTGGATTGATCACGATGACTTGGTGGAAGAGCTATGGATGACGGCCAGCGAGGCCAACTGTAAGTGACCAACTACTCTAGGTACAAACAACAGGCTAATTTAGGTGTAATACTACAGCCAAAAGATACCAGTCACTATGTCGGCGTTTGCGTTCGCTTGATTGCAAGTTTTGATGATAAATTCGGTTAGGAAACGGTCCTCGATATCCATAMTAGTATATGTACATGAAATCTTTAGCCGCCATATCCTTCTCGAGTTTTGCATGTACAATGTACTGTGTCTTGTCAATACTAGCTTTAGTACAGCTGATGGAGATCACTAACTATGCTCAACTTTCTGAACTCTCAACTCCAATGCTTGAATGGCGATGGTCATGGCTTTGACTGAATCTTTGATCTCCTGGATAAAAGAAGCAGCACCATGGGTATCAAAACCTGCTTGCCCTGGAGCGGGTTGCTGCTCTTGGAAGACCACGACCAAAGGTCGCTTCCAACGTTGGTCGATCATTCCGCGTGGAC